CAGAGCCTACGGCCATGGGGTGCCAGGGCTCTGCCTTTCTGTGGCTATAAACTCCCTCCAGCATGGGCTGGACAGTGCCAGCCCTGGGCTGGGGCTTGCCCTAGTTCATCGTTGTGGCTCTGGTGCTGGGGCCACCCTGAGGAAGAGGAAGAGGAAGAGGAAGAGGAAGAGGAAGAGGAAGAGGAAGAGGAAGAGGAAGAGGAAGAGGAAGAGGAAGAGGAAGAGGAAGCCACCCAGTTTCCCCAGGTTGCAGTCAGGACCTGGGGTTTCCTACCCTTGCCCACTGGCAGTTCCCACTTAAAACCAAGACTCTCGTCTTCCTTCTAGAGACAAACCGAGAAGGGATTCCTCCTTCCTAATAGAAATCTAGGGGCAAGAAATGTGGGTGGGGTTTTTTTTCCCCATAACAGTCACTATCAGAGTATTTACTTCCACGTGTTCAATGGGCCTTTTTGTGCTCCCCCTCCTGCAGATCAATCGACAGAACAGATGTCTGACTGTCCCCCGTTTCAATGTGTATTATCAGTACTCCTTCAGAGTTGCTGCAAAATAGCACAAACATCAATAAGAATAGAATTTGAACTTAAATTTACTTTAAATTAGGCTTTATAGGTGAAAATTGTAGGTTTTCAGAAAATAAGCCTCACCACCACATTACTGAGCGTGCAACGTCAACACAAGGATGCCTGGGCAATGCAACAGCCTCCAGAAATGGGACAAGGTCCTAAATGCTGAGAGTGACAAGCCAGCCTGGTTTGACAAGCTTTGCCAACGGCTAGCCAAATGCAATGAGATTACCCTGATCTGGGGAACAGAGATACTTGAGCTCAGGAATTTCCCCCTGGGTGTGATTACCTTGTAATAGCCACTATCCCTCATTCTCATTTCTAGCTGTAAAAGAGGTGCAGAGAGAGGTTAATCCTAGTTTGTGTCCATTAGCCAGTAAACTGTCAAGGCATGGTTTTTAAGGCAACCTTGGAAAAGTGCACAGGAACAATAATGTCTGTCATTAAGGTGGTGAGGTTTCAACTAGAAGAGGCACTTGTATACTGTGTCAGTGTAGCATTCAAGTGTTTGCTTTTAATTTACTGGGGGAAATCTTAGTGAATCACTCAGGTCTGGACTGGCCATTAGAGCCACTGCTGAATTTTGTTTTCCCCTCAATTTCCTGTTGCTCAAAACTAAGCATTCTCTTTCCATGATGCCTTGGAACGATAAATCCAGGGTGATCTAGCTCAGGCTGGAAGAATGTGAGCTGACTGCCATAGAACATCCTTGTTCTGAGACACAGCCACTAACAGGTCACATTTTCACTTCAGAGTGAGATGCATATGAGAGGTCTGCATGGAGCACCAGGTTGCATTCCAGAACAACTTGGCCTCCAGCTGAGGACCTGCAGAGAAGACTTGTCCACACAAGAGAAGGCTTTTGCTTTGGGAGATAAAGGAAAATGAGATGCATCTGCCTGTGGGTCTTGGTGGAAGACTTGTAACACTGAAAACTGGTCCTGGTGTAGAGCCTTGGTCGCTGAAGAGCCACCAAGCAACTCTACCTCTGTGATGCAGGGGGCTCAATCAGAAACAGTGGCAGGCAATAGCACCAGACACCTCAGGCCATTTTGCCTTAGTGGGAGACATGGTTTGGTGTGAAATGCAGGACATAGGGATGACTGCATAGGGTTAGCCCCCAAAATACACCTGGCCCAGTATCCTACCCTGGATGAGACCCAGCAGATGCTTAGGAAGTAATACAAAAATAGAGCAAACATTTGTTTATACTTCCCAGAATACTCTCAATTTCCCTAGTGATCTGTGACTCAAGAACACCCTGAACTGTAGATGCCAGCTTTACATTTAATAGCCCTTAATGGATTCCTCTTCCATTGATTAGCTTGCACCCTATTGAAACACAAATTTTAAATATCCACTGTACTTTCTGGCAAGGAGTGCCGCAGCTAAAAATCCCCTTTGTTTATTTTGAACTTGTCACTTGATAATTTTCTTTAATGTTCACTCTCTTCCTTTGAAGAGCACTGAATAATATGAACAGCTGTTCCCCAGTCACATCGCTCTTCCTTTCAGAAAACTCGGTCGTATTTCTTCTTCAGTCATTTTTTCTTCCAGGATAAAAAGTCTTAATCTATTAAGTCATTCCCTGAATGGAGGCCCTTTTGTGCTTTTGATCATCTTCAATTACCTTCCTCTATAACTTTTCTACTTCTTCTGTATCATATTTGAGATCAGTGAATCAGGACTGCACAATGGTATTCAAGAGAAGGAAGTCCACGGATTTATACAGCAGCATAATGATTTCCCCTGTTTTTCTCTATCCTCCTTTCCTAATAATTCCTAGTTTTCTGTTTGCTTTTTTGATTGCTACTGTCTTGAGTTGACATTTGCATAGAGTTATCTATTATAACCTGAAGATTTTGCTCCCGAGTGGAAATAGCCAGCTCAGAGCCCATTATTTTGTATGTAAAGTTAGGATTGTCTTTTCCCATGTGTATCACTTTACATTTATCTACATCAGATTTCAGCTGTGATTTTATTACCCTTTTATTCAGTGCCATGTGGGTCTTTCTGCAACTATTCACAGTCAACCATTTGCCTCAACCACTCTTGATGTCATCAGCAAACTTCTCCTCTCTCTGCTTGCTGCTATTTTGAGATTATTTATGAATATTTTGAAAGCATAGAACAATGTTTAGGCTCATTTAGCAGCTTCCTCTCTCAAATCTGAAGTGATGTCTCCCAAGGAGAAGGAAGAAATGCAGTTTCTCAAGCTCTTGCAGTGTCACTGGAGAACAGCTGGCATTTCTGGGAATAAAGGCATTGTGCCTAACCAGCATGACTACTTTTCCCCTTGCACAGATAGGATGGCGGGGGTGACGCCACTTGCTGGGATGTGTGTCTTCCCCCACCAGACCAGTGGAAGATGGACTCAAGCACAAAGAGGCAGAGTGGAAGCAATGGATGACAAAGCTTTTCTCTGAGAAAACCCCTGCACACAAAGTTGCGTTGAATGAATAGGAGGTAACTGGCAACTCTTCCTTGCAAAAAGTGATCTGGGAGCCTGTTGAGCTTGCCCAAGGGAGTTCAATGCCAGAGTCAGGTGAGGAGTCTCTATCCATGGGAGGAGAACATGAGGATGATGGAGAGTCACTGCCCTCTGCACAGGCAAGGTGAGACCCAGCTGGTCAGTTAGAGAGAATACCCAGAGATCACCAGTGATGAGCACTTTTTCAGTGGTGTATTTTCCCCAGGAAGCAGCACCTTGTAGCAGTGCTTGTTTGGGGAGCAACAACAAGGGGCACTTCTTTCTGCTGGGGGTATCCTTGTTTGGGGAAAGAGGCTGGAGAGTTGCTGCTGCTATTTGTAGCCAAGAGGAGTCCAACTGAGCATCACTCCAGCACCAGAGGCGAGCATGAAATTAATTCACCTAGGGAAAAAACAGGAGGGAAAGTTAATTGCTCTGGTGGAGGGTTCCTCGTCCCTGTCCAGTGGTGTACCTTGGAGCCACAGGGTCACACAGAACGTTTCCCTCTCCTCCTAGAAATGGGGATGCTTTCCCAGATAGCAGAAGGTTTTCTGCATCACTTGAGTTATCCATGCTTTGTTGCTGTTTCCTCTTTTCTCCCATCATTTTGATCCTTTGGGGTTAGACTTGCAAGTGCCATCATATCTTCATGGAAGCAACAGTCCACACTGAAATTTGCCTCCAGTTCTGAGAGGCAGTACAAAGTCCAACTCAGGTCTCCAGGTTGGTTCTGTTTTAAGCCCTTTGGGCAGGGTCTGTCTTCTGGCTCTGCAGGGATCAGCAATGTAAGTGGTGTGCAGCACTTGGTCCCACCAGCCACACAAGCTGAGTTTTGCCTTGAGAGACTGGAGTAGCAGTCAGAGACACAACATGCAAATGGAGTAAGACAGGGCTCCCAGTCACACATGTGATGAACTGTGTAAGCAGGATGTCCCAAAAGATGAGACTCACCTCACCTATGGAAGTGCACACACATGCCTTCCCCCATCACCTGCAGCTCCACTTGACCTAAAGGCAGGAAAACAGGCTCTACTCACTTCCATACCATTCACCTCTCTTACCCTCCAAACCAGGCTGCTCCATCCAAACTCCCTAGCGGGATCAGATCCAGGCTGCTCAGCTAGAAATCAGGAGGGGATGTACTCCTGGTCCCAGGCCAAGCTCCGGTCCAAGAGTTTAACAGCACAGGCAAAAGCTTTATAGGATACAAGCAGCCTTGAATTCATCAGTAAGGACATCACCACTGTGTCCAGCAAGGGATGGTATGTCCTGGAGTGTCCCCTCAACCCAGCTGCCAAGAGAAGCAGCTCCCCAGTGCTTGTTGTCCCAGCCCCGGTGACCCTGGGAGGGTAAGCCAAGACTGGATTTCTGTCTCATCAGCCAGGGGCTGGATGGGATCCCCCTGACAGCTCAGGCCCCTGCAGCACTCTCTTCTCTCCCTGCCTTCCCTCTCCCCTCCCCAGCCAGACAGCATTGCTGTTTCTGTCGGTGTGCAAGAAAATTACCTGTGATTTATCACACAATCAGTGATTTTGTTGGCTTTTTTATTTTCAACATAGAAGCACGTTATACTGCTCTCCCATCCTGAAGTATAGGGTAGGGGTAGCAAATCCTCCTGCCTGGGACTATTTGTCTTTTTAGCCTCATAAAAAGCCTGAAAAATAAAAGCAAGAACAAATCTCCGGTTTGTTGCCTTTTTGTTCCCCTCTATCCCTTACAACCAGGAAGGAGATTCTTAGCTATTCTGCAGAGCCAAAATGTGCATCTTCAGGTTATATATAAATTAGTGCCACAGTTACAGATGGAGTCAGACACTTCATGTGTACAAAATGCAGCTACCTGGGAGCTGCTGCAGACAAGTCCCTCGGGTCCCTGAGACAGACACAGCCTGAGCACAGTCCCTTTCTGCACGTGAAAATTAGCTGATGCATTAATGATGATCTCTTTGCTTTCCCCTCTCCTAGTTGCTCTTCATTCTTCCCAGAGAAGCAGGTGGTAACACTGCTTATTTCTGTTAGACAGCGTTAAACCCAGCTCCCTTGTAACGCTGGGAGCTAAGCCCGTAGCAAAGAAATGTTTCTATGTTGCTCGTTGGTACCTTGCAGGATAAATTACTTGTGTGTCTGATGGAAAGAGGGCCCTTAGCAAATTATATCCTCAGAGAGCAGCTACTAACATAGCATAAGAAGACTTGAGCTTTGTATATGAAATGTGAAAACACAGAAGTGAAGGATGAATTTTTCTCAGTTATTTGAAGGGGTTTAATTAAAAAGTAAGCAAACAAATAAAAAAATCCTAAACCCAGGCTATGTGGAAAGCACGGAGCGTGTGTCTGGCAGTGTTCCGGGGTTGGTACCAGTGTGGGGAAAAAAAAAACCTGGGGCAGAGCATCCACATCCTCTATGTTCAGGCAGACAACCCTATCACACTTTCCCCACATCTCTTCCTGCCTCTCACCACTTCAGTTTTGCTCCTGCAGCACTGTCATTCTTCTGAGCCCAGAAGACAATGTTATCCCGATGGACAGATGTTTTTGTCTCCTGTTCCAGGATGGAAGTGGTCAGGTTTAGTATCCAGCAGCAACAACACTTGTGTGGGGGAACACCTGCAGGAATGCCCTGCCTCCAGGTGGGTCACTGTGACCCTCCTGCCTTAGATAACTCCCCTCAGCCTCCTGGACTGGCTACACAACTCGTGCTGCTCTTGTAAGGAAATGAGGTCTATAGAGCTGCTGTCTTGGGGGTGGCTGTCTTAAGGGTGGTGGAAGCTGGGGTAACTTCCCCTAGACACTCTCCCTTGACGGTTTTCTTCCAAAGCCTACTTTATGTGGGCTTTCTGTGGGCTCACCTTTCCTTGACTGTCAGCTACACACTGGGCAACATAGCTGTTTTCATCACATTCACCAAGGAAGGCCTGTTCACCTATTGCATGGAGAACAGCAGGTACCCAGGGCTGAGGACTGCCTCTGGGAGCCATGGTCACAGGGCCTGCTCCCACCCTGATGGCCACCTCTGGTGACTGCAAGCCTGGGGGACACCAGGTACCAGCTCACACCCAAACAGTCCCAGTGGCATCCCAGGGCTTTAATGCTTGCTGAAAGCACCTTCAATTTTTTACTCTAGTTTTATTTTTTCCTGTGTGAAAGCTCATGAAAAGTACAGCCTACTAGAGATGTCGTTTCTTGTGCACCAAGGTTCCAGGTGCAGGCAGGGTGCACAGCACAAGGGCACTTGGGTATTGCTCCATCGCAATTGCCAGTGACATTTGTCCACAGATGTCCTCATATCCCCTGGCATGAGGATTGATCCTGGCATCTACTTTACCAGCTTCCCATGGAGCCCCAAGTGGCCATGTTGGAAAAACATGGGCCTGCTATCTGCATGAGGGGAATCTAAAATAGCCAGTCAGTTAGCTTGAGGTTAGCATTGCTTCTGGTTTGTTTCACATCTCCAGAGGGTGCTTCTCACTAAAGAATGACTTAGGTGACCAATTTCACAGAATCACAGAATCGTTAGGGTTGGAAGGGACCCCTGGAGATCATTTAGTCCAACCCCCCTGCCAAGGCAGGTTTATCTAGAGGAGTCTCCTTCTTGCAGTCTAAGTTGTAATATGAAGTGACTGATGGCTTTAGTAAAAATGGCTAGTGTTTGAGCCATCAAATATTAATTTTTGACACCCCATCCCAGTCTTCAAAGTTTCGCTTCAGAAAGCTAGTGTCTGGGGGAATCAGTAAATCCCATCTCAATTTTACAAGTCTGCCCTGTGTTGAGGCTAATTAATGAACATCCTAAATGTCTAACTGGCTATTGCAAATCATTTTAAATAGCTTTTGCAATAATGCTTCCATCAGACTCCTGCAGTCCTACCATTTGCCTGCAGACATGTTGGTCTTTCATCCATCACACGGCAGCCAGGTTTTACAGCCTGACACCAAGGCGATCCCCGGCAGCACTAAGCCATCGCTGATCTGCTGTGGGTCTCTCCTGACCTCACAGGACCACAGGCTTCCCATTGGTGTTAGCCATGCACCAGCTGCTGGCTCACCACTGAGCTGGGGCAGGCTGCTACAACCCACCCAGCCTCCCCCAGCACTAAAGGGCAATACTAAGAGACCACTCCGATATTTGTAAAGAGAATATTGTAGTTTTGACGAGAGGAAAAGAGAAAACCAACAGCCTGTCCTACTTATGGACTGGTTCAGGCTTGCCCATGGCAAGCACACTGTAGCACATCATAGCAAAGTTAGATTTGTTTTTTTTTTCTTGCTGTTTTTTCAAAGTTGCAGCACAAGGTAACACTGGGGGAGGCCAAGCTGCTTTTGCAGCCCGGTGAGAATCAACTTCTTCATGCTTAGGCAGGAAAATCTCAATATAACACATGCTGTGAATGATAAAAGCTCCCCATGTGCCACTGCTAGGGGGATGCTCCAGCACCCAGAGTCATCTACGCAGATTGTCATGAGATAGGGAGTATTGATTTGTATTTGTATGCATAAATATGGGCTGTTTTCCCTCACACGCTGTCTTTCTCTCTCCTTTGTAGTTTGGCAAGGCCATTTCCCTCACCCAGCCACACGCACGACCATGCACACGTGCACAGAAGACCTATTTTTAGCATAAAGGTTGCCAGGGCAAAAGGAATTCCCATGTCCAAGGACTTTCAGAAGATGTAGATACGCAATAGAAGGAGGGGAACACACACACAACCCACACTCTGCCCAAGGATATTTTCTGCCCTTCAGGGACTCATTGCTCTCCCAGGGGCCATCCAATCTCTGTAGCATGCAAAAACTCACCGAAAACCAGCCCCAGAAGGGGTTGGTCCCAGAAGTGATTCTTGAATGGAAAACTGGAAGTTTGGTCCAATTGCAGACAAAATACAGCATTCGGGACCGGGCAGTTGTTGGGTCTAAATTCATCTGTGTGTTTCTCCCCAAGGCCACCCTGGACCCATGCACAGGGATCTACTTGGACTGGGCAAGGACCAGTCAGAAGCTCTGGAAGTGGCATGACTTCAGACACCACTCTCACAGTCCTCCTTTGCAGTCCATCACCATGAAACTGAACTGCCAGGTCACCAGTAAAACCCTGGTTTAAGGTGAAATTGGCTTAGTGTTCCCCAGCCACAGCAATCCTGTCTGCTTCAATGTGGGCTCCCTGCTCAAGGCAAGCACTTGTGGTAGCCCAGCCTGGCCAGCTCCTGTTTGCCAGCTCCTCAGAGAGCAGCAGGGAAACCCCCCAGTGGAGATAAGCTTGGGACTGTTGTCTGGGACTGGTCACAAATTTTCATGCGGAAAAATCACCATTTCTTTCAAAACCAAATTTCCTGCCTGTGTGACTCTTAATGAAATTCCATCTCAGGAAAGCATTTAGACGAGATTGAAATGCTGTCGCTGAAGGGTAAGAACAACAAGACTCACAAATTCATTTTGAAACACTTTTTCTTTTCAAAACCTTAATATTAAATGTCAATACAAGCACAAAGCCTCTGATTTTATCTAAACAGCATTTCACTTAACGTGAAACAAGCATCTGGGGAGAGAAACACCAGAATCTTCTGGTATTTGTTGTCACTCAGGTTTCCTACCTCTGACCCTTCCTCAGAGGTGGAAATGCCATTCTGGTCAGGGCTCAGCTGTGCTCGGTGCCACTGTGACAGTCCCAGCCTACTGGTGTGTAACCCTGTCCTTCACTAGATGCAAACACAACAGGTCACCACTGAAACACAGTGTTTGGTTGGGGGCTGAGGCCTCAGGGTAAAGGACATAAGTTGTCTTCCCTGGTGCAGGCGCAAACCAAATGATGACTGTCCTCACAGCAATAGTCTGTACGTGGCCACAGATGTATCACCAAGGGAAACAGGCCTCTGCCATAGCTGTTCAGAAAGGTGGCAACTACACACTGCCTCAAGTACACAGAACCATAAAGCACTGGCTACTGCTCTTTGGCCCCCAAAACTCAGACTTCTCAGGACCAATTGCTATGTTAGGTAAGGAGGTGATCTTCCTTGCCCCACTACTTCTGGGCAGCCCACTCCCACCAGAGCAGGCTCAAGTCGTGAGTTTAGCTCCTCAGTCCCTTTGTACATGTACTGGAGGAGGATCAGCTCCAAAGGGCAGCTGTAAGGGTTAGTGTGCTCCATGGCCATGAAAGGAAAGGGCACCCATGACACATTACACGGATAAGTGAGAAAGGCTGGGTTACAAGAGATGCAGGATACTCTCCCACTCGGCCTCCCCTCAAAGAGTTTAGCATTAACACTTTTCACTTCGCATGGACTTCTCTTTGCAGCTGAAAGACCCAGAAAAAAGTCACCTGCTGAAGTGGCCAGAAAGCAAAGACGAGCTCATCCTTCAGTATAAAAAGATTCAGCTCAGGAGCCTGCCGTCCAAAAATCAGACAATGTTGCAATACTTTTGGCAATCCCTTTCTCACTGATATCACTCCTTGTGTTTCATCATCTTCTGTATCTGCATGAAATACTGAAATGAAGATATCTGTGCTCACAGCAAGCAGTTACATCAGCATTTCAGATCAACTCTTCCTTCATCAAGGTGGTAACAGTCACTTTGCGATGAAAATAAAGTTCCTTTTTTCAAGCTCACAATGCCTATCTGTACATCAAGTCCTTGTAGCACCAAGTTTCTTTCAGCTGACAGCGTTTGATGGATTACAGTCTGATCAGTGGGGTTACACAGTGAATGCGCAGTACTCTGAAGCAGATGGCTTCCATCCTACAGCCAACAAACTGGAAATTTTAGGAACTGGTTGTACCAAATGTGACTGATGAGCCTGCTTTGGCTCTCAGCCAGAGATACCTGGGCTGGTGGAGAGAGGATGGCAACCAGGAGCTTAGGTACAGGGACCAGGGGCAACCCAAGAGAGGAAAGATGAGGTGTCTCTGGGGTTTCCAGGCTCCAGTTCATGGTAGGTGGCACCTCCCATGGCTTAGTGGCAGGGTTGGGCACCTCAGAAAGGGATCAACTCATTTCTTTTTGTTCTATTTAGAGCTCTTTACATCAAAGATCTGATTTGTTCCACAGTGTTGGCTTGGGTCTAGGACCCAGTGAGGATGAAAATGCATGAGAGCAGGAGAAAACAGCAATTGTGGACAAAGAGTTGGATCTACCTGCAGTCACCAACATGCAGCTGCTTCAGCAGCACAGACGTTTCCATTTCCCCTTTTCGTACCCACATCACTTTGTCAATACCAAACATGCAGTGTGAGGAAAGGACTATTAGTTTTGCTTGAAAAACACATGCCACAGTGTAAGGTTATGCCTCAGGCATCACTGTTGTACAAAAAGAAGGGTGGATGCCCGGCCAGCTGCTTTGGCATTCACCTCATTTATGAGATGCAATCCAAAGGGCCAAACCTCTTTAGGAGGCTCCAAGCCTCTAGGAAGCTAGTCACATATCACTGCCCCACACCTGTCAGACAGCAGCTGATTTCCACAGGAGGGTTTCTACCCAGGTTAGCTCATTCACATGACGTTGTCAAAGACAGAGGGTGAAGGGAAGCTTCATGGTGACATTACAGAAGACAAACCACAAGTCTCTGGATGATACAATACCAAGGGCCAGAAGAACACTGTGGTAACGAGGAACTATGGGAAGATGAGTCTGTGAGTAACCAGGTAAGAACAGTTATCAAATACAGTAATACTTGTGTTTTCTGCCACCAGTTCCCAAGTTTTCTCTTAGTAAAAGCCAATAGCTAAAATATGTTTTTGTATTACAGTTGTGGTTTCTTCCCCCTAACAAAATTGTAAGGAAAGAGACCAATCCGTCACACAAGACTGCTTGTCAGTAAAGAAAATATAAATTTACTTTTATTATAACCATAAAGAGGCATTAATTTAACAATTAGCTGTACATTCAGCACTCAGGTATGTATGTGTGCCAAATAAACCCAGTTCTCTTACTGCTAAAAAAAGAACACTTCTCAGCAATGCACTTGCCTGTGCTTACAGGATGTTTATTGTCTCTGTATTACAGTTATCTTGACAGACAGGCCTCAGGATACAGAATAAAGTTTTACTCTTGGACCAAAATAGGAGGCAACATTTTTATTTAAAAAAATTAAAACCAGCAAGTTTCTAGTCAGATAATATAAAGCATCTTAAATTAATCTTTTGAAAGTATTTACACTATTTGTAAACGTAAATATCTGAAACTGTACATGTTTAAACAAATGTTCACTTAGCAAACAGGCTGTATAAACTGATTGCTCTTCTAATCTTTCCACCAGCTGTCTGGGTACTCTAAGAGAGAAAAAGATCCCAACCACAAAAGTGACTACTGCCATGGTTTAGCCTTCATGTCTTTTTTGTACAATGTCTGTATTAAGTCAGTCATAACTCTGTACAGTGACCAAGCAGTCCTTCTGAAAAACTTCATAAAAAACAAATATACATATATTACAATGCACTGGACATTATTTTACAGCCTGTATTTCTACATAAGTAAAGAGAAAGGGCAAGTTTTCTTCCTTGTTAGTTAATTTTTAAGGGGTCATATAAGGTCCTAGGAGTACCACTGATGTTCCTCAGCACGACTGCTGCAACACTTCTTGTGGTAGCTTTAAATCCTACCATCTTGTTCTCCATTCATGTAACTTGTAATAGGAAAATTATTAAATCAAAATACCACCAATGTGCCTGGAAATTCTTCATATTTAGAAGTACAGAATAGGTTTTATAAATAAATAAAAAATCTGCCGTGTTTCTCACTACATTTCTGTTTTGCAGTGCTGACCAATAAGGATTTACACACTGACACGCCCTGAAGCTGCTTGAAGTGTTTCATTCCATTAATGCCCAGGTGCTTAGCATTCAGCTTTCTGCACTATTGACCAATAAATGCATACTGAACAGCGTGCATTGTTTAACAGGTACCGAGCACCTATCCTCTGTTTACAATGCTGATTTGACAGCCTTGCACACTGAATTTCAGGCATCCCCACTCCCCCTTACTCCACGGCACAAAGGCTGTGCAAGTTCCAGTCTCGATCCTGCTTTAAACAATATGAAACCACCATTTGATCTTGGGAAAGGCAAAAATCCAACTCTACCCTAAAACTAAGTACCTGAAAACCTCAATGCTAAGCTTTGCTGTAAAGCATCTGAAAGCATGCAGCTCCCTAGAAACAACGGAACTTATATTGCACAGCTTTCTATTGCATATTCCAAGGATCTGAGTCCCTTTCAAGAGGAAGGTGAGACCCTTTACAGAGGAAGGTTAGTAAAACTTCAGGTCAGACCTCACAGCTCCCAATCACAACAGTATAAGAAAAACAACACATCCAGTGTTTCAAGAAACACTTCACATGTGGGAAATAAAGTTTTCCCAACTAAGAACCTCTGAATTATGTTCAAGCACACGGTGGATTACCAGGATTTTCATGGCAGTTAAAGAAAAACTCAGGGCATGCCTGCTTGAGTCAAATTGTCATACCAATGTGCTTATCTTCCAAGTCTTGCAGATATCTCTTGCTGCTCTCATTTGATTCCCTGCACTTTATTTCCAGAGTGTCTTTGAAAGTGCGACTTTCCATTGCATACATCAGCTTATTAAGGGAAAGAAAAAACGTTTTTTTCATTAAAAAGCAAAAAACAAGAGGCTTCAACTTTGAAAACGTCTGGAGAAGGCAGTAACTGAGCTTCCATAAGAGTGATCAGCAAAGGCTTTTTTGTTTTGTTTTCTTCTGCCCAATTCTCAAGCCTATGAACAGAAAAACCTTGGGGGTTTTTTTCTTTTTTTTTCCCCTAGAAGTTTTGATGCAGACTGGACTGCACAGTGGGATCCTTCGTCTACTTCAAGTAAATGTCTTTGTGTTTCCTTCACTGCCTGGCATTGAGCTGAAGCTTATTTCAAGCAGTCTCATTGCTGGGTTACTAAGACATCGATAATAGTAAGTTCACCTGAAAGACAAAGGGAAAGCCTATGTTAGACAGAATAGCTAAGCTTCAGAACTGATGTGTTATGTTTTAACCTTTAAACATGATTCCTATGAAGCACATTAGTCAGGAGAAGACAGCTACAAAACAACCAGCCAAAATTTCCAGTCAAGTGCCTACTCGTAGGCTTTTTAAAATGCAGTTGTTGACCATACTGACTACTTATTTCACCAGTCACAAGCTACTGTGTCAAATTTTCTAAGATGACTTCATGTGTTGTCAAGAAACTCCAAAAAACAGGCACACTGGCAAAAAATGGTAACATTCATCTCAGATATCTGAAATACATTTGGGATCCTACGCAATACTTGTTTCCTACAGATTACAATATGGTTTCCCATCCAATTCAGTTTGTAGGATAAGTGATCCTAAGGTTTAACAGATAAATGATTAGAGGAAGCCATCTCCTCTAGGATAACCCCACCTCCTTATGGTGCATCAGTCCCACTCTGTGGTTCCTAGACAGTTATCACACATTCCTGTGGCCACATTCACTGCAGGAAACATCCTCTAACCCACAAACTAGTTTACCTGTTTAAATATTAGCATCCTGTGATAATCAAGATTCTACCCACTTTCCCTAGACCACTAAGGTCAAAGTGACATCTTCAAAACCTACTTGGTTTCTGCCAGAAAACCCTAACAGAGAGAATTCTTAAACCAAATCATCTCTGAGACTAAAGACTTTACCTACCACGTAGGGTTACACTTCCATAACAATCGCACATTTTCCCAATGCAATTTACTTGAAATGCACCCTAGTAATTCTTTCTCATGCTTCCTGAATGCAGAAGTTGCTGCTTTTTATATTTGGCAAAAGCAAGACTGCCTTCAAATGCACAGGCTTTTTTAAGGTGCATTCATTGGCTTTGATATCTCTCTGAAAAGACAACGCCTAGAAACAGAAAAACTCTTCTACAATGTTGTACAACTCAGTCCCAGCAACATCAATCATCACTTTGGTTTAAGAAAATCAGTTAGATAGTCTTTAAAGAAAAACCCAAACAAAGCCCTTTTCTAGCTGAGAGCCTAAAGTTCAGATAATGCCCTGAGTTTAATCATCCAGGATTAAGGGGGATAATAAATAAATAAAGATTCTGAACACTGGAAATACTAAAAATGAAAAAAATCAATGTTTAGAAAAGCAAGTCACATGAAAGAGCAACTGATAAAACATAGAGCTTCAATACATACCTGTTCCATTGAAGGACAAGCTATGATTTGCAGATCTTCATTACTAAATTCTTCCTTTAACAAAGCATGGAGTTTCTGGAACATTTGCTGAATGTTATTCTTTTAAATGAAAGAAGAAAAAACTCATTATTAAAAAACACAACACTCATCTCAAACATGAACCACAATAAGCACAATGTACATGGAATAGCTACTTATATGACCAGGCAAGGAGAAGCAGTCAAGCTTTAAGAACTTTTCCTCTAAAACAAGTCGTTTTGGGAACAGCTACAAGGAATCCATGTT